TTTCAGGGAATTGATGAGAATTGTTTGAAAGAATTGGGGAGCATTTTATGGGCCATAATGTTCCTTCTGGCAATTCAAATTGCAACACTTAAACTAACATATGATTTCAGATTTTCAGTATATTCATCTCTTGCTTGCTGCTTCACTTATTGAACCGGATAAAGCTTATGGTATGGGCTCTATTTTTCATTTAAGCTGCAGATTTTATAATGGTATGGGCTCAATTTTTCAGTTTGTTGCTCTATTAATAGCTGCAGATTTTTAAAGAGAAAAGTACTGTACGAGGATAAACTGTTTTGTGTTTCTATGTTTGTTCTATGAAGTTTTTGACATAAACTGTTTTGTGATAAACTGATATTTTTCTTTGTGTTTTTTAATGTGGTTTTACCATTAGTTTAAACTGTTTTGTGATAAAGAATCCTTTTGTTGTGCTGTACGAGGATAATGCCGATGCCTTATGGTTTTACCACCAGGTTCCTCAAAAGCTCGCCATCAAAGTTGGAGAAGTATTTGAGATGCTTCAGCAGCACCAGTTCAATAGCTCGTGTCGGACTAGACATTTTCGTTATATTAGTTTTAGTTATTTGAGATTGAGTTGTATGTAGAGCATTCTTGTAAAAAAATTGTAATAAATTGTTATGATTTTATTTGTATTTTTTTTATTATTATTTTGTCGGACTAGACATTGTAATAAATGAGTTGTATTTAATTATTTTAAGATTTTATTTGTATTTTTTTAAGCTTTTGTCAAATTTGTAATAAATTGTTTCTTATTTTTTAAGTTTTTGTCAAGTAATGTTAATATTCTTGTAAAAAAAGATGTAATTAATTTTGTGAAGTTTTTTGAATTCATTATTTTTTAAGTTGGTAAATTTCTGAATTTTTTTATGAAATATGTCCTTCAAATATTTTTATATAAAATTAATATTTTTTTTGTAAAAATAATATTTATTAAATAATTTTATATTCTAACGAGCCATTTTCGAGCCGAACACGAGCCGAACACGAACATGAAAACGTAATTCGAGCCGAACACGAACACACTGTTCACGAGCCATTTCGAACACGAGCCGATTTCGAACACGAGCCAGATTCGAGCGAGCCGAACACGAGCCGGGACCAGGCTCGCTCAAGCTCGGCTCGTTTACAGCCCTAATCTAGACTAACTCAGCCGATCGAACCAGTCCTGCAAACCCGAAGCCAATCAAGCTCAGCCGACCAAGCTACAGAACAATCGAGTGAGAGACTTATACTTTTAAAATACTAAGAAGACCATGTACTACTCTCATTAAAACGATGATAAAAGTGTAACATCAACATATTATACTTTCTCATCTATAAATAAGGAGATCTTTTTTACGAACAATGGATAACCAAATTAGCCATAAAGGATAGGAAATTTCAACACGATTGACATGATTACTATTCATTACAGTTCACTCTTCTCTCTCCCAATCTTACGTTCTTTCAATTCTTAGAGCGTGATTCACGAATAAATCAATATTCAACACATATTTATTATAAATGTAATAGATAAGAATTTAGTGATACACATATAAATCATCCTTGATATTATCTAATTGCACTGCAATCCATATTATTTGGAAGCACGCGGAACCCTGCGAGCTAATCTTGGAGCCTGCTGAACGACATGAGCTGAAAATTATCGCAGCCCTTGTCCCACACAGTGACCTCGAAATCCTCCGAATAAGATTCCAAACCAACGAAGTAGGCCACGAGGACGAGACGGTATACCACGCCAGCATCGCCGTACACCCACTGGGTTTCGCCGGAACCCACGTTCTCCATCATGAGAATGGGACCGGGTGAGTTTCTGTTCTGTTCAGTCACGGCGAATAACGCTATGGCTCGCACGTGCTCATCATCTAAGTTCTTGAGCGGCAGCCATCCGTTGTCATACCCCTGCCTGCCGCCGATTGATAGGGTGGCTGCGAGTAGAAGACAAGAGAGTGGGAGGAGGGATTTCATTTTGTTGGAATTGAGATGCGGTGATTTTAGTTGAATTTAAAGCATTTTGATATGACATGTAATTGTATATTATTTAATGGTTGATATCTTTTTGAGATGTAGTACGGGATGGTTCTGTAAATTCATAATTGTGTGCTATATCAAGTCGATGTATTTGAAGAAAATTGCTATTCCTTGTATTTATTATTTATTTATTTATTTATTTTTGGTATTGCGCGCATTTATTGAAATAAATTGGGGTATTTTTGTAAGATTTCGGGAGTAAATATTTGATTAGTTATATTAAATGTGACAGAAAATATTATTATTAAAATCTTAATTATTATTTTTAGAAATTCTACTTTAAAAATCTGATAGAAAATATATGACACTCGATTAGTCGAACCCTACATTTCTTCCGGCAGCAGCTCGTGTTCAAATCTTTCATTAAATAAGCACAACCATTCACATTGTTTTAGCTCTAAATATGCATGTTGAATATAATATTCTACATCTATTTTTTTAATTAATTTACATTGGTGAATTTCAAGCTGAACGCTTTATATAAAGTTAATCTCGATCTTTCTGTAAATCACCATAAAAAAATAGAGTGTAAGAAAAAAGAGAGATAGAGAGGGAAGTGCACATTAATGAACACTAATCAATCGTAAGGATTAGTCTTTTCTCATAAAATGATTCTTTTAGTTATAAATAAGGGGGTACATTATATAAATTTATATGTTTTTATTGCATTAATGAGTGTGTTACATGATATTTTTTTTGGTACTTTACATATATGAGCCTGCAACTTGGCTAGTCTCAAACTTGGTCGGTTGAAATCAATGGGTCTTGATTCGACGATAATTGTTCGTTTGATTCTGCTGAATCGGGGTTGCATTTGGCCTTTGATGGTCTCAGTCGGCAAGAATAACTCGATTGAGTTGCCTTTGTCGATCGATTATTCTGATCTGACAGTCTATTGCTGATCCCTGAGTGATGAGCTCTTATTGGCAGAACGAGACTAGAATTTTAGCAGAAATTGAATCATGCTAATTCGATTATTCCTTGACGAAGGAGTCCTTCAGGATGTTCCTGGGTTACGTTATTGCTAATTCTCGACTCCCGAAGAGGAATCTCATAAGAGGAATCTCATAGGCATCCATGATAGTACTGATGATATTGAACTTTTCTCTTGAGTCGCGTTCGACAATACACAGATTGATGCCTTTAAGCAGCTCGATTATCGTTAGCCCTTGGTTTAGATTGTCTGCACACGATCGACCTCCAACCCAGTTCAGGAGTTGCATCCAGTCAAGTAAGTGAGTCATTTGGCTCTCACTAGTGGTCCCTCCTTAGTTATACTTCTTGTATCATGAACGTTGGATTTGCTCGAGATTCATGCCGATGCATTCTGAATGTACTATAGAGAGAGAGAGAGATAGATAGATAGACACACACATACACGAGACAGATGAAAGTTGGTATAGCTAACCACCTAATGATAAAAGCAAGCTTTCATTGATGTTGCCTTTGATTCTCTTAGAATAGCCGAAAGAGAAGTAGACCATCTTTGACTACCTATTCCTTTCTTCTCCAAGCTTCTAATCCGAATCATTTATTTTAAAAATATGTCTTTGATAGTAAAAAATAAAATAGAGGAATCACTAAAATTTTAAATCGAGTCATGAAATTTATGGTCAAATAATTAAAATTAAGTTAAGTCATCTTATATGTAGTGCAAATCTACGTGCACATAATTCATAATAATATTTTCATCTTAAATATGTAGACGTGTGTGCATGACCATAAATACATCTAAGAACGTGCATTTTATGACAAACTTCTCTTACTTTTGGCATGTATAAGGGTGCATGCAACCCTTTAAAGTCATTATAACATTTTTCTTCTTTTTAAGGGTGTTTATTGTCATGTATAATCATGTATGATTATTTATGTTTGTGACTTATAATAATTTGATTTTGTTATGCACAAATACATACAAGTCAGGTGCCATATCAATGTATTTTATATAAAATTTTTGTATCATAAATATATGCAAATGTGCAAAGATTTTGTTATTAGGGAGGAAGCACCCACTGCTTCTACAATTATTTATCTCATACCCAAACTATAATTTTTACGAGCAAAGCAAGTGTAAACCACCTTTTCATACATTTTTTCAAATATATGAAAGGTGTTTAGTTAGTAAAAGTCAAAGTTAAGGTGTGAGATAAGTAAATGCAGACTCGAAGTCAATCAAGCTCAGCCAACCGAGCCCGAGAACAGTCGGCCGAGAGACTCATACCTATAAAATACCAGGAAATCCATGTACAACTCTCATTAAAGCGATGGTAATAGTGTAACATCAATTTATTGTACTCTCTCATCTATAAATAAGAAGATCATTTTGTGAACAATGGATAACCATATTAACCATAAACGACATGAAATGTCAACACGATTGACACGATTGCTATTCATTACAGTTCACTCTTCTCTCTTTCATTTATTATGTTATTTTAATTCTTGGAGTGTGTTTCACGGCTAAATCAAGATTCAACAAATATTAAATATGTAAATAGATACAATTATAAATCATTCTTGTTATTATCTAATAGAGTTACAATCCATCTTATTCGGAAGCACGCATAACTATGCGAGCTAATCTCAGCTCCTCCTGAATGACATCAACTGAAATTTATTGTAGCCTTTATCCCACACAATCGCCTCGAAATCAGCCGCATAGGATTCAAAACCGAGGAAGGAGACCATGAGGCCAAGACGGTATACCACGCCTGCATCATCGTACGCCCCCTTAGTTTCGCCGGAGACCACGTTCTGCAGCAAGTAAACGGGACCGAGTGAATTCTTGTTCTGTTCAGTCATCGCGAATAACGCTATGGCTCGCACGTGCAGCTCGTCCAAGTCCTTGATTGGCAGCCATCCCGCGTCATCCCTCCGGCTGCCGATGGGGGGCCGGCTGCCGATGGTGGGTGCGGCGGCGGAGATTGATAGGGTGGCGGTGAGTAGAAGGGACAAGAGGGAGAGGAGGGATTTCATTTTGTAGGAATTGGGTTGGTTTGGGCTGCCCTGATTTTATTTGAATTTATAGCAATTTGATTTGACATGTAATTGTATATGATTTATTGGTTGATATTTTCTTGAGATGTATTACGGGATGATTCTGTAAATTCATAATTGTGTACTATTTTAAATTAATGTATTTGAAGGAAATTTTTAATGATTGTTTTTATTTTGGGAATTTGATTTATTTTAGATATTTTTTTGGGTATTAAATGCATTTATTGAAATAAATTGGGGTGTTTTTGAAAGATCACGGGTGTAAATATTTGATTAAATATTGAAGATATGACAGAAAATGATATTATTTAAACCTTAATTAGAATTTTTAGAATTTCGACTTTAAGAATTTACTTGAAAATTTACATATTGGCGTCCCACTCGATTACTCATACCTTACATTTCTTCTAGTAGATCGTGTTCAATTCTTTCGTTGAATCGTGTTTAACTTACTCTAACTCGAAATATACATATTAAATCTAATGTTTTACATCTATTTTTTTAATTAATTTATATGTATGTATGTATGTTGTATATATTTTGAATCTCGACCTTTCCTTAAATCACACTAAAGGATTAGAGCCACCAACAAATTTTCATCATCCAAAGTAAACTTTGAGGCATGACATGCATCTCGAGATAATATTTTGAACAAGAAAGTTCAAATCTTGATAAAAAGTCGTCGAGAGGTTTGATTTCAGCAAACTTATAGTCAAACTGACTGGTTCGATGAGACAAACTTAATGATATCAAAATTAGTCAAATCAAACATGGATCAAGTCATTAAATAACTTTTGAAAGATTTGTGGACACATTTGGAATGTTAAACGGATATCAAATATGACAAGTTCATGGTTGAATCGAACACCTCAACAAGACGAATCCAAAGAGTCCAAGATTACATAATTCTGACATCATTAAAGCATCCAAAATGTTGGTTTAACACTATATGATTGAGGGAAACTCTTTGTACCGTCCGAACAGAATGGTCGATTACACCCAGAGCATTATAAATAGAGCCACACCCTTCTCATGAGGGAGAGCTTAAGTCTAGAGAGAGAGCACGAGGCCTTGAGAGGAGTTATTGCTCAACATTATTGTTGACCACCGCTGACCTTCGTCGACCCTCACAGACCTTCGTCGACCACTGTTGACCGTCGTCGACACTTACTAGTCATTGTAAATCATCACCAATCAGAGGTCGTCAATAGACGCTGTAATCGGAAAATATATTTAACATTTCCCGTTTATGGGCTAAGAGATTTCTGTAATCATCAATTAGTAGTAGATTTTCGCAACTGAGTCAGATCCCATGACTTTTTCCTTCACGAGTTTCCATATAAGAACTTATGGTGTCATCCCTGGTTATTCTTATTTCACCTTAGTGTGTGCTAAATTCTCGTGCAATGCTAAGACGATAATCCATTACTCTATCGCTGTGAATTTTCTGGCACACATCAAGAGTGTGAGACCGAAGGAAGATAGATAGGGAAGTGCATATTAATGACCATTAATCAAGCTTAAGTTTTAGTCTTTTCCTCATAAAATTACTCTTCTATTTATAAAGAAGGAGGTATAATATAGGAAGTTACATGTTTTTCACTATGTTAATGAGAGTGTTACATTATATTTTAGGTATCTTACATGTAAGAGCCTGCAACTCGGCTAGTCTCTAACTTGCTTGGTTGAAATTAGTGGGTCTTGATTCTACAAGATTTGCTCATCTGACTGTGCTAAATCGGGATTGTCGTTCGACATTTGATGATCTTTAGTCAGCAAAACTAACTCGATTGACTTAACAATGTCGATCATTTATTCTAATTTGACTGTCTATCGTTGATCCATGGGTGAGGAGCTCTTGTTGGCAGAACGAATTTTAGGCAGATGATGAATCATGTTAATGCACTCATTCCTTGACGAAGGAGCCCTTCATGATGTTCATGGTTTATGTTATTGACAATTCTTGGCCCCTAAAGAGGAATGTCAGAGGCATCCATGAAACTGCTGGTGATATTAAACTTTTCTCTTTAGTCGTGTTGCGACGTATCAATGCCTTTGCTCAACTCGATTAGTGTTATCCCTTGGTTCAGATTGTTTACAACTTTGGGCCTCCGACCCAAGTTCAGGAGTTGCATCTGGTCTAAATGGAAAAAAAAAGAAAGTATTAGAAGTTGGCAACCACCTTATAATAAAAGCAAAGCTTTCATTGATGTTGCCTTTGATTCTCAAAGAATAGCCGAAAGGGAACTAGGCTATCTTTGACTACATATTCCTTTCTTCTCCAAGCTTCTAACCCGAATCATTTATTTCAAAAATATGTTGTTGATGGTAAAGAATAAAATAGAGGAATCACTTAAATTTTAGATTGAGTCATGAAATTTGTGGTCAAATAATTAAAATAAATTTAAGTCATATTAAGTGCAAATCTACGTGCATATATTTTATAATAATTTTTAAAAGACATTTTTTTTAACTTTCAATTTAGATTCTTATAAAATTAAAAATCATATAACATTTTTTTTTTCACTAAGCTTTAATAACATTTTTTTAATAGAATATTCTATTTAAATTTTAGGTCAAGATGAGTTCAAAAAATATTAGATTTTTGTCTCATCAATATATTATAAATCTTGATTAATATTTTTCATAGTACACTAATTTGAAAGCAAATTCAATATTGAAAATTAATATAATCCAAAAATTTCCTATAAAAACAATAACAATATAACTCGCACGTACAAATAAACAATATATATATAAACCCTAAATTTTAGTTGGCTTCAATTACATTCCTAATTTCACTTATCCCAATTCTAGTTGTGTAATAGACGACATATAGACATGATTTTGGACTAACTAAAGAAGAGGTTACCGGATACTAACTGATAAGTATGTCAAATCTCTCTCTAAGTTTTGCTTCTCCTTCTATACTTTGGTGCATGCCTAAAGCTTTGTCGTTCGGTTCTCCTGCCTCGGCTTTCTATACTTCAGAGCTTTATAAGTTTAGGAAAAGTATGTAATTTATGCTCCTGAGCTTCCTGCATATTTACAAGTATGCCATTGTTAATCATGTATGAGTAAGATCTCAAAGGTTGTAATAAATAGGCTGAAATTAAATGAATTCTACTTATCTTTTTTCAGACTTATTCTTCTCTTTAATTTTCCTTCCCTTCTCCGATCTCGATCTTTATTCTTCTCACTAAGAGCTATAAATGCCATATATGAAATATTAAGGGGCATTTACTTTATTCATACATAACACATAATTCTTCCGTGTTTACATATCTAACCCTTAAACTTTGCCTATTACATTTACATCACCCAAATCATTCACATCGACTAAAAAATACCATCACTTTAACTTCTAAAAATTAAAATACATTTTCCATACAAAGATAAGATAATATATATGTAAAAATTAAAGTTTATACATTAGAAATGTAAATACATAAGAATTGTGTGGTGTACATGAAAAAGTTGTTAAGTGACACGATCTATTATTATTCATTCTAGTTCATAGTTCCATCCCTTGGATAAGATACTATTCGGGATCAAACATGTGGTATGTATGTAAAGCTTCTAATACTCAATTAAAAATTAATATAATAATGTTGAAATTCTAAAGGCCATTACAGTAACCGCACCGCGCCACGTTCTCCACCCCCTTTCCGTTGCGGGAGCGGCGAGGTTCCCCCCCCGCCCCCCCCCCCCCCCCCTGCCAATCCGTTTCTAGCTCCTCTTCTTGTTTTTTTCCTAACCCCTTAATTCTTCCCTCGTAACACCATTATCTGCCACTTAATACGCTGCTAATGATATTTTAGACGCAACCAAGCAGTTCATCCTCAGGGACTTCCACCTTATCCTGCTCCCGCCGTTATGATTGCGCAAATGTACACGTGTCACTTTTCTCCAAGGAGGAAAGCCGAGCGTTGGTGGGGGACACCAAATAAAGCAAAGAATTCCATTCATGGCCTCTCCTCTCTCTCTTGCGTGCAGTGAAAGCGTCATTTTATGTAACTTGATGTCGAACGTAGCCTTTTTTAAGGATATATTTACTATTTCAGCCAATGGAAACACGCCACGTTGCAAATTAATGGGGAGTATCCGACCGGAGCGAGTTGGTGGCCTGCTCGCAGCGGTTTGGCGATATTTCGTGTGCGACGTATCGTCCCGTGATCGAGAGCGACGGGTGCGGGGCCTAGATGGACTGTCTGCCGTTCGATCGCCATCGGGCGGTCAGAAGGTGTCACAGCTCTTCACGCGAGAGAGTGGTGGGCCTCGTCGCAGCGCGCGTGGTCGCCGGGGGTATAAATTACGACGTCGACGAGGCTCGCACTCTGAAATCCCTTTTTTCGCTGCGCCTGTCACGGCGTAGAGAGAAGCTTGAGAGAGATAGGGTGTTGAGAGTTGATCCTGGGGGGCACAGGGGAACCCGCATTGTCATTATAGAGTTCTAGAGTCGGAGCATTTGCTTGTTCGCCGACGCGCAACCGCCGGCATTGGCTGGATCCGTGGCGGGATTGCGGGAGGCTGAGGGGAAGA